TGCTCCAGTGTGTCGATGGTTGCGTGTCTCCTGAACCTGTAGGTTATTTCTGTTTCGAAAAGCTTTTTGCATACTGGAGCGTAAAGTTTGTACTGTTCTTTGGTAGCTTGGTTCGTCACAGTTTGCATCATTTTTTCAATTTCTGCTTCAATTTCTGCGTTTGTTTTGCCTGTTTCTTTCATGTGCTTTAGCTTATCGGCGTTTTCGTCGCCAACAATGTGGCGAATTATTTCTTTGCAACCGTGTTTCATCATTTCTCTGGCCTCTGGTTTTTTGTCGTCAGGGAGAGCGTCGTAAAACTGTTTAATTTTATGCTTTATCTCTTCTTTGGACTTTCCTTGTACCTTCATCTCTCTGAGCTCTTCTTTCTGAGCTTCTGTTAGCCATTTTAGGTTTTTCTGAAAGTGGTGTGCAAGAATGTCAATTGGCTCGTGATGTCGGTAGTGTAGAATTTCGTTAGGTTGGTGGGTGTTATGACGGTGATGATTCTTGTGATGAGAGCGTCGGTCTTTCATGAAGAGGAAGGTCTCGCACATCTGTAGTGTTTTTTTCGCCTGTTCTTGTTCTTTTGGCTCTAGTCTCGCGATAAATTGATGAAGCTGAAAAATTGTTTTGCTGTTGAGTATTGGTAGTGTTTTTTTTTTGTCTTTTTTGTTATGTAATAATCATGCAACACTTTTTGAGTTTGTCCAGATTATGAAATTCCTGTTCATTGTTCAAAGTTTGTGCGGTTTAAAAGATATGCGAAGGATAGAGGATTTTAACTAGGTGGGAGAAATTTGCAGCAGTTTGTGTCATAGTTTCTTTAACAGTTACCTTTTCCATACATTTGGTGTGGTTTTTGTGATGATGTGAGAAAAGGTCTGCTTTTTCTTCCTTTGTTGCGATTTTTTCGATCCATGAGAAGCAGGATTTTTTGGTGTTTTTCACAGCTTCCCGACGGTCTAGTTCGTCGATTTCAGAAAGGTAAACTCTGAGCCTATTAGTGAAAGTTTGTTTTTCTTTTTTATTGAATAAATTAGTGAAGAAAGTTTTATAATTTGTTACAAATGAGTTACCGTTCACTAAGAAACTGGGGCGCTGCTCCCGATTCTAACATCCCCTTAATTTCGCTTCTTCTTTCTTTGCTGAGCCAGGGAAGATGTCTTTCTATCTGCATGTCGATATCGGCAGAGTCTCGTTTGCTTCTTACAGTGGCAACTTCATGCTTGATGTCCCAGGCAGAAAGGCATGCGTCCTGAAACGTTTTTTCGTTAAGAATTTTTTTGAGTACTGCTTCCTTTGAAGCGTTTGTCAGGTAAAATTAGTTTATGAATTACCGCCCATAATTCTACTCGGCCTCTTGTATTGGTGTTTAATCGTGTTTTATATAAATTAATTTTCTCAAGAAGTTCATTGATTTTATTGTCAGAATGCAGCTTCTTTAGTTCAGCGATTTCTTCTTCCGTAGCTACCTGAAATGGAATTTTCCTCTATCACGACTCTTAGTACTAGAGAGAATAATGAAACAATAGGGTAAGAGAAATAGTCTTTAGAGCTGAATATGATTTGTTGAATATTCTTTTGAGGAGTTACGCATTTTTAGTGCGAGGGCGACGTTCTGAGTTAGGAGTAATATGTACACTGAGGGATTTTGATAGGTTAGGGTTGTTCCGAGCGTAGAAGAATCATTTATGGGATTAGCAGCATATCTCTTTTGCTGTAGCAACAATACAGGATAGGTAACCATTTTTCGGTTTAGTTGGTAGCATGTGATGTAACAAAGTGGGAAATCTTACGTCACGGATCCAGGCAACGCATTCATTCTTGTATTTTTCTTCCCAGGTTTTCTTCTTATCGCTTGGAAGTTTGTGAAAATATTCAAGTATTTTCTCAATAATTTCTTTTGGGTCTGCTCCAGACGTGTCTAGCTGGAAGTACGAATTGCTGTAATTTTAATTATATTCTCTCAACAAGACAATATACCTAAAGATAAAACTGTTGTATAATTTTTGATTTGTCGAAATTCTGCCAAGAAGTGTTAAGGCAATTAATAATATTTTTTTCTTTCGGTTTTGCGAGTCTCATTATGCATTTTTCGATGCTCACGTCAAAGAAAGTAATTTTTTTGGCTTTAAGGATTTATTTTATCA